GATATGTTTGTAGAATCTACCTGTGTGTATGGCCTTGTTTGGTAGGACTTATTTCTATCTTATTTCAGTTTTCAACTTAATTTAAGTTATTTCGATGTGTTTGATTCAGCTTAACAATACAGCTTATAACTTTTTGTAAGTAAAAAATTAACTTATTCTTTGAGTGGGGGAGGAGAACCTTAATTTATAAGTCAAAACTTAACGTATGTTCATAGCTACAAGCTATAAGTTGTTAGGTTATAAGTTATAATCACTTTCTTACAGCTCTGTCAATCGGGACCTATGTAGATTCTAGTAATTATAAAAAAAATTAATAAATTAATTTGTAATTATAACAAAACTGGTGAGTGAGTGAAACATAAATTTGTTGAATTTGGATTTTCAATTTCAAAAATAATTACCCAACTACTCTAATATTTTTATATTCCCTAAAATATAATAATAAAAGAGAAATTACACTCATATTGTTAAAACTCAAAATTTAAATATCACGATTGATAAGAGAGCGTCTTATCTTTAAAATTTGTAATCTCTCTACTATTTATTTTATGGGAAAAATTAACCACTTTTCTCATGTTATATTTCTTTAATTTTACTATTATTATTTTTTTTAACTTCAAACTGCAAATTCAAACAAAATCTAAGGAATGAGTGAGTCACAAGAGAGAGATAAGAGATAATAGAGAAGAGACGGGGGTCGTGTTTTTGGAGGGTACCCTATAGGCTATAGGAGCATTTTGGCCTAAATGAACAACCGTGCTGGGACTCCCAGTGGGATGACCCCCAGCACCCCCCTACTCTACATGGGGCTCTGTGATTGGTAGATAGGAAAAAAAAATAAATAAATAAAATTTCAGTCAATAAGAAAACACTGGGGGTCACTGGGGGTTTGAAAAACTGGGGGTGCCAATCATTTTTGCCTAAATGAAGGGGTGAAGCTGAGCCACGACTATTACTTGGGTGCATAGATCTCACACGCTGCCCCCATTTGGAGCCTAGTATTAATTTTTTGACTTTTTTAACTTTTGTAAGAAAAAAATAAAATGATTATCATTTGAATGTGATGTTTTGTCAAAAAAAAAACTTATTTTGTTATTTTATGACAAAAATAGTCAAAAAAAAAAAAAATAAATAAATAAGCTGACATGCCATACATACATACATACATACATACATTTATGACGTGGGGGACACCCAATCCATGCGAATCCTTGATGTGTAACACTTCCCTCACAATTACTTTTCTACGAAGCTTGTCTCCAAATTCAAGTAAAGTTCCAAATTTACATGGTTGTAACTTGCGAATCTGTTATGCTTTATTTTTATGATTTAAATTATTTTTTTTAAAAAAATAATCAGACATAGACAATTACATTATCAATTCTATTTTTATTTTTACAAATATAAATCAATCGTGCAAATACTAATTAGCTTAATATTATTACATAAAATGTCTACCTAACAAATTTTATAAATTAAACAATTTAGATAATTCAAACCTAAAATGAGTCCACAACTATACAAACTAGGGGTTCGTTTGGTTTGTATTTTTGAAAAATTTTTGAGAAATTTTCTCTACAAATAAGTTTTTAAAAGTAATCAAACCAAACAAATTTTTCTAAAAAAATTTCTCAAAACTTGTAAACCAAACAAGTTTTCCAAACAAATCTCTCTCTCACACACATCAAATCAATCACTTTTTTCAAAACTCTCTCTCAAAATAATTTTCAAAAACATCTTTTGAAAAAAACCAAATCAAACAATTTTTCGTACTTTTTATCTCTAAAACACATCTCTCAAACTCAAACCCAAACCAAACATACCCTAGACCTTTCGGTCCAAGTCATTAAGTTATCGTTTGGTAAGTAGGTTGGTTTTGAGTTGAGACTAAAAAAACACAAAAATATAAAATAAGTTAAATAAGTCAATAAAATAAAATATCATATTCAAGTTATAATCATTTCATTTTTTTCTCACAAAAAAGTCAATAAGTTTTTTCCAAACGAAACTAATTTAGGTGGACAAATTAATCAAAAAACCAAAAAATTAGACTAAAAGTAATTTTCCCAAACCAACCCTAATTTTTTTTAATTTTTTTTTTGTGTGCCTTAAGTAGGGGCAATTTAGGAAGAAGATAAAAAAGCTAGTTTTTTAATTTTTTTACACAAAAAATCATAAAAAAATCACAAAAAGCCAGTTTTTAACACAAAAAATTCAAAAAAATTTAAAATTTAATTGTTTACCAACTTTTCAAAACACCACGTAACGTGTGTTTAATATCTATCAATTTATTATTATAATGAGCAAGATTCCTACCCACTTTAGTTAGTCGTACAAAATTAAAATCTTCCACAAGACCCCTGTTAGAACCCTGTTAGAAGACCACCACATATTCTGATATATTCACATATATGCTTTTATAACAGAAGAAGTGTCACTTTCATTGTTTTCATTCTTTTTCTAATATGCTCAAACTGGTATTGAATAGTCCCAATAATAGTACCAACAGATTTAATACACACTCAAAAAACCAAAAGCTGTGTCACACTTACAAGAGATGGAATAGCAGTAATATTTGGTTGGTTTGGTCCTCATTGCCCTGTTCTTATCCTCATCAACCCCTGCAAGTTCCCAGGACATCTGAGGGTTATTTTGGGAAGTTGGTAAAAAGTTGACTTTTGGTTTTTTACCAAGTTTTTTGATTTTTTTGGAAGTGATTTGAGAAGTTAGTAAAAAGCTAGCTTTTTGCTTTTTAGTTTAATATTTATTTATGGTGTCAAATCAAACTAAAATGACCAAAATACCCTTACTCAACATAAGAGAGTTATTTTTTTATTTATTTTTCATAGGCCCTAATTTGTAATTTTAGGGCTGCGTTTTTTGCACTTGCCAAATGGCTTTTTTGGCTTTTTTGGCGTCCAAAAACGTGGCTTTTTACCATGTTCCCAAAATGGCACTAAAGATGACAAATTTGACACTTTTTGCGTCTCAATTAGACATTATCCTCACCAAGTAATTAATCTATTAAGCACTAGGATTAGCCTAGTGTCAAAAAGCTTGAGCCTCCGTTTGGGTAGTGGGTTAGTTTTTTGACTTTTTAATTTTTTTGATTATTTTAGGCTGGATTAAAAAACTTGGTTTAGGAAGAGTTTTTTGATTTTTTGATTTTTTTAACTTTTTTTGTGAGAGAAGAGTGTAATGATTATGGGTTGGATGTAATGTTTTATTTGTTGTGGCTAAAATAACTTATTTTATATTTTGTAACTATTTTAGCCACAAACCAAACTTGCCAAACAATGCTATGAGTCTTCTCTTCAAGAGAGTGCATCTCTGAATCTCTATGAGTGGATAATGTGAAAATTACATTCCTCACTCCTAAAGATTATTCTTGTGGGTTTAAGGATTGGTTTGAAAAGTGGGTTGATTTTTTAGTTTTTTAGCTATTTTAACCTGGGCTAAAAAGTTTGGTTTGGAATAGACTTTTTGACTTTTTGATTTTTTTTTTGTGAGAGAAGAGTGCTATGATTATGCATTGAATGTGATGTTTTATTTTTGTAACTAAAATAGCCTATTTTGTCTTTTGTGACTAAATAGTCAAAAAAAAATCCAATTTAACTCTTTCGAGACGGAGCTCAGTCTAAACAATTACTAATGTGTGTGAGACAAAAAAAAAAAAAAAACTACCTATATGACTTGTTGGGCGAAACCTTAGACAACCCGTTAACATCAACAAACAAAAATTGTACATCCATTTCTATTTTATTTTATTTTATCAAACTTAGTTATTTTAAAATGTATTAATTTTGTTTTAAAAACGTGGATTTTAAATTTAATGAAAATGAATTTCAAAAACTCATATGAATTTAACAAACAAAAAAAATCAAAACTAATCGAATTTAAAAAATAAAATATTAAAAGGTGTGAATTTAGTAAATAATTTCATTCACTGCAATATTGACTATAGTATATATCATGAAAAAAAATATTATGAAAAATTTTAATTTTTTATCTTTAAATTACACAATAAAATTTTTATAAAATATTTAATAATATATTTTTTCTTGATACCAAACATTATCCAATATTGATAGCACCAATAGTAGATACAAAACTATGGTTTTACTCCCAATCCATCAAGATCTACCACACCACAAATAGGAATCTTGAATCCCAGACAATGATACAAAGCTTCCATACTGTTTCATCAATAATGCTAGGGAAGAAATATCATGAAAATTCTCTATTCTTAAATTAATTTATAATATTTATAATATTTTATTGTATGTTATACGATTACTTTTAAATTAATTTTATAAATTTTTTTAAGATATTTATTTGATGATGCGTACCATAACAGCTGTTTCATTTATCCCTCAACAGCAACGTAATGGTAATACGATTAGGCCTTCTGGGGGTAGATTAGGCGACTCCCTGGAGACTTGTGCAAGTTTCGAAATTTAAGAATTATTTAAAATGTTCTAAATAAGTGTATTCTTAATTTTTTTAAATTAAAAAATTGAAAAATAAAATATAAATATTTGAGTTAATTTTTTAACTTTTTATGAAAAAAATATGTAATAAAAAATTATAAAAATTAATTTGTAAAAAAAAATTAAAATTGAGAATTGTGCAATCGTAATTATTGACTTTTAGTACATAGTGTTAACTTTTTAACTTTTTGAGTAATTTTTTAACTTTTTGACTTATTCTGGACTTGCCAAACTTAGCTTTAACAAATTTGTTTTCCGAATGCCAAACGTTTGCTCATTTATTGGTTAATAATAAAATTTATGTAAAAAATAATTATTTTAAAATTGTCAAATTTTCATTTTCTCCAGGTTTATAAACACTTTGTCCTTCACGAATTGTTTTTAAAATCTATTTTTCTTTTTCTTTTATTTTAAAAAAAAAGTTCTAAATGCAATTCAGGAAAAAATATTTTTATACAAAAATTAACAGGACTGAGGAAGAGATAGATTGAGAAGAAACGAAGGAGAAGATTTATGGTATGATAAATTGGTTGCATTGCATCCGCCCCCAACATTATTTCGAAATGGCGGTTATCTCTTATGGGAGACGAAATTACCATTTGAAAAACAAAAGAAATATTAAAAAATAAAATAAAATAAAAGGATAGTAATTAACAGAGAAACACTTGAGAGAGAGAGAGAGAGAGAGAGTTAATAATAATAGTAATAAAAATGAAAACAAATAGAAAGAAAAAAAAGCTAGTAGAAAACAGAAGCAACAATGTAATCAGCTCGGCGGAGGACGAATTGAGCCGAGCTGATTTAGAGGCAAGGAGCTAGAGCCGGAGAAGGACAGCAGCTCAGCCAGGGCACTCATGGCTCTAACCTGCATCTCAAGAGCCGCGATGTAATCCGTTGCTTCTTCTAGAATCACTGGTAACGCTTCTTTCCGGCAACCGGGAACTAACCGCCCGAGAACACGAGCCTTCCGCTGGACAGCCGGTAAATTCTTCGTCTTCAACCGCAAAATACTCACTCTCGGTTTCTTCGACCGGTTGTGGCCGGTAACCGTCACTCTCTGCCTCTTGTTTTTCATGAACTTCAGCTTAAGCCGGTTGGTGAGAATGGCGCGACTCCACCTGGTCCTCCCCTTGGCAGTCACAGCCAGAACTCTGTCAGCGGCTTCGCGCACGGCTCGGCCCCGCCGCGGAGCCGAAGGAGAAGAGTTGTGCCGGACTTGGCGAAGAGCCTGGAGAAGCTTCGACGAGTAGACTTGTTGTTGGGCTTCGGACTTCCATTCGGTGGAGCTGTGACCGCCGTTAGGATTCTGAGATTGATCTCTGGTGGCTACTGCTTTCTTCTTCTTTCTCCTCTTGGACGAGTCCCGTGATTGGTCGGAGTTCGTTACAGGATTCGAAATCAGAGTAGACGCCATCAACACAGCCAATTCGGTACGATTGAGAACCGAATCGGATCGGATCGGATCGGATCACGTATATATCTGTGGATTCAATCACGTGAACAGATGATGATTCCAATCGCGAGAGAGTGAGATTCGACGAAGGATTCAAAGAAAAACAAGGCAATTTCTGTCGAATTTAATCAGAAAGATGAATAATTTCGAATCAGATAAGATCAAGAACATCATAGAGAAATTCTGAAAAAGCTTCGATTTTTTTTTTAAAAAAAAATTATGAACAGAGAATCGAAATGATTGCATCGCGATAAGATCATTACCTGTGGGAGGAAAGCGGATGACCGTTCGAGAATCAGCTTCTGGTTTTCGCTCCGGTTGAAGGTATAGTTTCAACCGATCGATTCACCAAGGGGTTCCAAACCGAGATCGACATAGAACAGATACATACATACATACATATATATATATATATATAGAGAGAGAGAGAGAGAGAGAGAGAGAGAGGTGGTTTTGTAACGGAGGGGAAGAGGGGGCTAGTGGTTCGAAGGCTTTAAAGAGAAGCACGCGTCGTTTGCCTAAATATCATATATATAGATCTGATTCACTACTTCACTTTCATGCTCATAGTGTCACCCCTACCCACTAGGTGTACGAATGAACGAACTTTACTTTGAGCTCTTTTTCAGAAAATTTTGGGTTTAATTTTGTAATTATCATCAAATGTATCAGTTTATTGTTTTTAAATTTAAAATTATATTAGTATATTACAACTTCTTAATTATAAATAAAAAAAAAACCGTATAAATATTCTTTCTAGATAATGAAAGTTTTACAATTTTATTGTTTAGAAATTTAACTATGAAAATTTACAATTGAGAGTGTTAAGTGATTTCAATAATAAGTGAAAGGCTGTGTGTGTAATTAATCTTAAATTTTACACCTCATCATTGGAATTTTAAAAAAGTGGTGTTATTTTCACTTATATAGTGTTTAATTTATGAGTTATGTTAGATATGTCAAAAATTTTATCAAAATTTTTGGGTCTCTAATATTTTTGTTAATTTATTATGCAATAAAATTGTTGTTCTTTAGTCTATTTATGATATTTATAATGATAAATAATAATTCTAATAAAATAGGTATTTTTTTTTCATTAATGAAGTTATTATTTTTGTCGATCAAACAAAAATATTCTAATAAAATAAAATAACTTTATGAAATAAAATAGAGTCTAATGGAATAGAGAATTTTAAGTGATAATAATTCTATAATAATGGAATAATTCTATTTTTAATATATTTTTTGTGAAAGCATAAGAATAAGCATTATAGTGAAATGATTAGTGTTAGTGCACTGATCTCAACATTTAAAAAAAAAAAAAAAAAAAAAAAAACCTGACTGAAATGTTTTAATTTAATAATTACTTTTTAGAAATGACTTTGAAGTCACCTACTATTAATTAGCAAGCAAAGTCAGAAAGAAGATGCTGATTAACATTATGTTTGGATATTGGATTTGTTAAGAAAAAATAAAATTAATCATATATATATATTCATAAACCCAAAAAAAATTTATTTATTTTAAACAAATATGTATTCATTGATCTCACCACCAACATAGCTAAGGTAGTTGGTATCCCCTTGAGATACTGAGCTTGATTTAGTTCACCAAGATACTATCTATTTATCATCTCCCATCCGTATGCAAATGCCTTAAAGTTCTAACTGGTGAATTATTACGAAACATGCTCAGAGTTCTTCCTAAGAATTATAACATGAAACAACAACTCAATTGAAGGAAAACAATTCACTTGCAAGAACAATTCAGTAAATGTAGTTTGCTTTGTATTAAATAAGGGTAAGAATTCAAAACTCTTATCATTTCAATACAAACATATATTTCAGTGTTCCTTACCTCTTTATGGAAGCTAACAAAATTCAAGGTCCTTAGGTATGTAACTTGCCTCAATATTGGGTTGATTATGTCATAAAGTGATATTGGCTATGCCTATTGAAAAAAAATAAATGACATTGGTTATGATTTGAGATGAGATATTTATGTCAAATCAAATTACGTCAACTTTGATAATAATTTAAAGTAATATTTGGTTATAATTTAATATGGTGTTTAATCTCAAAGTATGTTGGTTATGCACTAAAGTAATATTTTTGGTTATATGTCAAAGTGCGTATCTCAAAAAAATGATAATTATGTCTTAAAATGATATATGTATAGTATTTATTTAGATCAAATCTCTCATCTTTTTCCCTCCACAAAGCTTTTCAAATGTGAACACAGTACGAGTATCCTAAATTGGCATGAAATCTTTGATAGATATTGGTGTTTACAGTTAACACACAACCCATTGCTCAGTTAAGATTTGATTTGATCCACCCACCATGGGGATATTATAGCAAAAATGTTAGAGGTTCTTAAAAATTCTAATGGGAGATCTACATAGAACCCACATTCTGTGAGTCCTACACTCGGACATTTGATAGAAATTTTGATAGAATTTTAAAAAATTTTGGCATTACTCTATTATAGTAGTTACCAAAATAAAAACTTATAAAATGGCCATAATTTATTTATTATTATTTTGGGAGATGTTGAGATTTCCATTATGGAATTTCATATTCTTTGGATTTTACATGTATTCATTCTCAAACACTTGGTTTATGTTGTTCATTAACTTGCAAAATTATATACTCTCAGAGTTTTAAGTTAATTCATAAAATTCTTAGCTGAGCTTCTTTAGTTAACATGAAAAGTCTAATAAAAGATCACCAAAAGACAATTCTCGATTAGAAGTTGTCGGACAATTTTCATTGTATTTAAATAGTTTAAATTTTGTTGTGTACTAAACAACAATTAGAATATAAAGAAATAAAGAAAGGAGAGAATTTGTTTGATTACAAAAATCAAACTAGAAATAAAAATAAATAAATAAAAATAGATCTTATTTTGTTACAAAAACAAAATTAAAATCTGATTTAAATAAATAAATAAAACAGAATAATAAATTAAATAACTTACTTGATTAATTTCTTTGAATAATTATCTGATCAAGTCCAGTGTTTGACACTGTGTCCTTGGGACAGATTCGTCCTCTCGGTGTTTTCAGAACTTGGACGTCTATCTCTCAGGATAAAATGATCTACTACAAACAATAGCAGCACTACAAATTGTTTGTCTTACGAACACACTAAGTGTTTACACTCTTTTTTACAAGAAAATAATGCAACAAAATGAAGAATGAATTTGCAGAGCTCTTAAGGACGAAAATAATGAATTTTCGAAAATATTTTTAACATCAAATGAGGGTTGTCCTATTTATAGATGTAATGGTGGTTGCAAATTTTGAATTAAACGAGTATGAACCTGTTGGTTTTGAATTCAAACAGATTTGAATCTGTTGGGTTTATAATTCAAACAGATAAAAAACAGGAAGGGCCCTGTTTGAATGTAAAGTAAAACCGGACCAGTTTATTTCCGGTTTAATTTGAATTCTGGATTTTATTTTACCAAAAATAAAATTAAATTCAAATATTTTTTGCCCAAAAAGATTAGTATTGGGCCGAACAAACCCAACCCAACTACACACCACGCACCAGACACCTTAGGTAGATAGTTCAATTTACGACGGCGGCGGCGGGGCGCGCGCGCATGTGTGGTGATTTTTGAGTCCAATGGGTCTAGTCCATTTTGCCCATAACCTTTCCCTCTAAAACACTTGGGTACCTCTTGGGGCACACCCCAAGTACCAAACCCAAGCCCTTATAACCCCTTTCAAAACTTCCCACCAAATCAATGTGAGACAAACCTTATTCAAACAGGATAAAATGATCTACTACAAACAATAGCAGCACTACAAATTGTTTGTCTTACGAACACACTAAGTGTTTACACTCTTTTTTACAAGAAAATAATGCAACAAAATGAAGAATGAATTTGCAGAGCTCTTAAGGACGAAAATAATGAATTTTCGAAAATATTTTTAACATCAAATGAGGGTTGTCCTATTTATAGATGTAATGGTGGTTGCAAATTTTGAATTAAACGAGTATGAACCTGTTGGTTTTGAATTCAAACAGATTTGAATCTGTTGGGTTTATAATTCAAACAGATAAAAAACAGGAAGGGCCCTGTTTGAATGTACAGTAAAACCGGACCAGTTTATTTCCGGTTTAATTTGAATTCTGGATTTTATTTTACCAAAAATAAAATTAAATTCAAATATTTTTGGCCCAAAAAGATTAGTATTGGGCCGAACAAACCCAATCCAACTACACACCACGCACCCGCGCCCAGGCCCAGCCCAGCTAGACGGACGGCGGCGGCGGGGCGCGCGCGCATGTGTGGTGATTTTTGAGTCCAATGGGTCTAGTCCATTTTGCCCATAACCTTTCCCTCTAAAACACTTGGGTACCTCTTGGGGCACACCCTAAGTACCAAACCCATGTCTTATAAAACCATTAAAAAAATCCCACAAATCAAGTGGGGACAAGCCTATTCATACCTTAAGATTTTTAACCAACTCCATTTCCATGGAGCATACTTTGGCTTCAATTTCCCATTCACTCGATAATGGTTTTGAGCAACCAAATATACCACGCGAATCACAACGCGGCATAGAACGTGTTACCACTTTGACCCGTGAAAATCGATGCACGGGCCCACCTAAAAAATAGACTAAACTTAGGAAAAAATTCTGGTTTTTACCTAGAATTTTATAACAATTTCCAACAATCCCCCACATGAATGGAATTTGATAACAACGGAAATACAACAATATGCAGACTTTATCGAAAGAGTATAAGTCGAAAATATCTTGCATCAGGATAGGTAGCTTTCGGCCTTGAACCTTCCCTAGTGATAACTTATCGGACTTACTGGCTAACCAATGGACGCGATGCCTTGAATTGTTCAACCGTTTGCGTTTGTGTAAGCCAAGACAATAGATTTCACACAAAATATCTTCTAACACATCATGGTTCTCACTGTTGTGTTCATTTTGGCCTTGAACGCTCCTGGTTTTCATGAATGTTTCTAGAGAATTTAGCCATTTCATTCTCATAGAACCGGTCCCAGTTCGACACTCGTATAGGTGATTCTTATTGTGAGTATCTCCTTATACTTGTCTTGATTTTATGCCTTAATCAAGACATAAGTAATCATTAAAAGCAAAGCTTATCCTTATACCCCTGCAGACAACACATGTTGTAGATATCGCTCTCATCATAGGAATGCATAGGGAATTTTAATCCCTTGGTGATTTCTGGCGAGCCATACATAATTTAGTTGTCCCTTTGAACTTAGTTCTTGGGATCTCCAGTCATATAAGTAGGGTTACCATTATGACGACTCTTATGTAATAGGCTTTAATCCCATCCCCTTCGATGAACTATACACTAGCTCTTTTGTCAAACCTTTTGTTAACGGATCCGCAATATTCTCTTTAGATTTTATATAATCTATTGAGATTATCGTATGTGCCCTGCCTATTGCAGATTGACTATCACAATGAATGCAAATAGCTGGCACAGGTTTTGGCCACA